TTGTGGAGTGTCCTTGTGTGGAGACCCCCAAAGCCCTGGCCGTGTTCCTGTGGGACTGCTCTGGTGATCCTGCTCTGGCAGGGGTTGCACTGGGGGAGCTTTCCAGGGCCCTTCCCACTCCTCATGTTCTGTGATTTTGTGATGCAGGCTGGCACCTCCTGGGTAGCAGCAACTGGGTGAAAGGAGGGAAGGCCCTTTACCTTCTTGGGTTGGTGTAGAGAACTGCAAATGTGTTTTCTTTTCCTCTGGAAGGCAGACAGAAAGGACTTTTTTTTTTGATCTTGCTATTTGAAACCTTATGGTTTCGAGAGTCAAACCCACAGTTGTACGAGGGGTTGCTGTAGAGAACTGCAAATGTGTTTTCTTTTCCTCTGGAAGGCAGACAGAAAGGACTTTTTTTTTGATCTTACTATTTGAAACCTTATGGTTTCGAGAGGCAAACCCACAATTGTACGAGGAGTGACTTATGAGGAGCAGCTGAGGGAGCTGAGGTGGGGTCGCTCTCTTCTCCCTCATAGCCAGCAATAGGACAAGAGGAAATGGCCTCAAGTTGCACCAGAGGAGGTTTAGGTTGGATTTTGGGAGGAATTTCTTTACTGAAAGGGTTATTGAGCACTGGCAGGGGCTGCCCAGGGCAGTGGTGCCATCCCCATGCCTGGAGGTGTTTAAAAGACGAGGAGATGTCGTGCTTAGGGACGTGGTTTAGTGGCGGACTTAGGGTTGGTTCGATGGTTGGACTTGGTGACCTTAAAGGTCTTTTCCACCCAAAACCATTCTGTGGTTCTGTGATTGTTTGGTTATTTTTTCCCCTTGAAGTGATGCTGATAAATCAACGTAAGAAAAGGAATCTGGAGAGATTGCCAGTGTGGCCTGCAAGGGAAAAGAGACCAAAAAAACCCCAAGAAACCACCATTATTTTAGGCTTTTCCCCGCTGTTAGAGTAAGTTTTGATAAGATAGGAGCTCATTTTGAGAAAACCAGGTAGTCCATATTGTACGTTCGGATTTCTGCAGTTCTGCGGCAGACGAACCACCTTTAGAAAGCACCTTAGGAGAAACGGAGCTCATTTACTGTCGAAAATCACTTTTAGGAGAAACTTGCTGTATTTACTTCTAACACCGTCTCTCCGTGGGCCAGAAATTCTCTTTTAAAATTACTCGGAAAGCCTCTTTTGTACATCCTGTAATGGATATTTGCAGCGGATTGCGTTGTGATGGATTCCTGACCAGGATTAGATATAACAAACTACATCTGACCGTAGTAATTTGAGGGTATAAGAGAGACGCAGCCTAAAAAGCCTAATTTCCAAGAAAAATGGCAGGATGTCATTGGACGGATGATTTCCTGGCAGCGGGTCTTAACAAGAAAGATGCGTTTAGCTCCTAGCACGTTGTATTTTGTCAAATGGATGTGGCTTTAATTTCCCAAGGCTCAACTCAAACCTAAAATTAGGGCTGGAAAACTTCAATCTTTTTGGGTTAGTATCTATTGGAGTGAATAAAAAGAAGGGTGGAAAGGACGCAATGAGATGAAATTTCATCTCCCTCCTCCGGGCAAGTAAAGGAACCCCTCGTTCAGTCGATACCTGCAGTATTTTCAATACTCTGCAAATAGGAGATGGCAGAGGAAATTTGACGTTCTGGATTGATTGATTTGTGCATTCATTTGTCACCTTCCAGGAACGTTTGACGCGTTACGGGTGCAGAATTGCAATGAATCCCTTCCCGGCCACCGTTTCCTGTGGGTTGCCATTGCTCCAGCGACTGCAAACAGACTTTGATTGATCTAAGGAGCGGCCCGTGATGTGTTTGTAGTCGGTGGCTTTTGCGATGGAGAGCCTTAATCCCTCATTTCTGCGTGAAAATTAAGAGTTGCTGAGGAGATTGTGTAGTCGCAGAGGTTACAGCTCAGAGGATGGCTCGCCATGGGTCACAAAGGGCTTTGCCTGGGCCAGAAACCCTTTTGGAGGCAGCGGTGTTTGATCATTTTCTAAAGGAAGAAGTTCAACAGCAAGGAGGTGGAAATTTGGCTGCGCCCTGGGGGACCTTGGCATCTCGTTCCCGTGCTGCCCCTTCTGAAACAGATGCCCTCAGGGTACTAAACCTTGAGGGGTGAGGATACGTTTGCCGCTCAGCAGGAGGTTGTTGTGCACGAGGTTGCTTTTGGCATCATGAATATTGATGTGTTTTTTTAGGAAATGGAGCACTTGGCTGCTGGGCTGTTCTGACATGAAGGTTTTAGGCTCTTTTCGGTGCACGTTCCCTAACCCTTCCTTCCAGCAAACCCGAAATAAAGCCATTTTTCATCCCCAAACAGGATGAATGCCCATAACCGACTGATAAATCCTCCCAGTGCCTGTTCATTTTGCATTAGTCATGAAATGTCCCATCGTAACAACCCTGAACCTTGAAATCGGGTTCTTCCCTCACTCCTGGTCCCATCAGGAGTCTCATTACTGAATTACAAGGTCTCATATCTGATAATGCTCCTTTTTTGGAGGTGTGGACCTTGCTTTTCTGGCTGTGCCGGTGCATCCCAGCAGGAGGAAGGTGAAGACTGGACCATCTCAGCCTCCCAGTGCTTCACTCTCCTGCTTTAAGTGCCCATTTCTCTGCTTCACAGGGCAGAAAAACCCATGAAACCGAGCTTTATTTTCTCTTTTTCTGTTCCCTGTCTCACTGATGCTGAGAGAGTGACAGGTTAAATACCGTAAGCTATTTTTTGGACTATTTCTGGTGCTGCCTGTCAGGAAATACTCATCCAGGTCTGGTCCATCTTCAGAAAGATCCAGGAGAAGCTGAGAGGGGACTCATGGGAACTTCCTATAAAGGATTGGGGAACAAAATTTGTAAGAAAAGTCTAGAAATGTGATTTATTTCTGAGCAAAACAGTTAGTAATAGTGATACGTGCAGTCTTTGTGCTTGAGGAGCTGAGTGAGTGCTGGCCTTGGGAGCTCCACCAGATCAGTATTGCACTGTGCAAAAAAACACAGCTTGGATTTGGTGGTGTTGAGCCTTTTGTTGCGCTCTAAAAGTCAATGAAATGGAAAGGGGGAATTCTTTAACCAGTGATAAACCTGAATAGGCTTTGTAGAGACTTTATCCAGACATTTAGCAAGATTAAAGAGGTGCCTTGGTACTCACAGGATCCCAGGATGTCAGGAGTGGGAAGGGCCCTGGAAAGCTCCCCCAGTGCGACCCCTGCCAGAGCAGGATCACCAGAGCAGTCACACAGGAACACGGCCAGGGCTCTGGGGGTCTCCACACAAGGACACTCCACAACCTCTCTGGGCAGCCTGGGCTGTGCTCCAGAACCCTCACACTCACAAACTTTGGCCTCAGCTTCACCTTGAACCTCCTGTGCTCCAGCTTGGGACCATTGCCCCTTGTCCTGGCATTGGCCAGCCCAGAGCAGAGCCTGGCTCCTTCCTCCTGACACTGCCCTTTCCAAATGGAGACCCAGGAATGAGGGCACCCCTCAGGCTCCTCTGCTCCAAGCTCCAGAGCCCCAGCTCCCTCTGCCGCTCATCAGCAGGAGATGCTCCACAGTGGTCACTTCTCCAAGTGATAGTGCTTGTATGGGAAGGAAACATGGCAAGGCCACTGTCTCACCATGGCTGCTGGATCCACACCTCATCTTTGTGGCCCTGCTGGACTCTTTCAAGCACTTCCTGTCCTTGAACAACTGGGGAGCCCAGAACTGGACCCAGGCAGGAGAACCTCTCTGCCCTCCAACCACCCCTTCTCCTCCACCCCACGATGGCCTTGGCCTTCTTGCCCACCAGGGCACATTGCTGCCTCCTGGGCATCTGCTGCCACCAGCACCCCCAGCTCCTTTCCAGCCACTGGGCCCCAAGTTGAAACCTTGGAAACTGAGATTATTTCTTAAATGGAAATCAACTTTTGAACTGGCTTTCACGACATCTTGCTAAAGAGAAAAAGGCTGATTTAGGGAATAGGTGTGGTCAGTCCGCAGCTCAGAAATTCAGGATCAATCTTCAGTGAGATAGGAGCGAGTAGGGAAATCTCTGTCATTAAACACAAATCTCTTAGGTCAAAATATTGATTTCTGTGCGAAATGGAGACAAAGCAACAGGAAGTAAACTGAATGTGGACAAAGATGTTATTTCTCATAAGCAATCTTGTTTTCTCCTTTGCAGCTCTTCTGGGAGAAGAGGCTACAAGGCCTCAGCGCATCAGACGTCAGCGAGCAGATCATAAAATCCATGGAGCTACCGAAAGGTCTTCAAGGTGTGGTGTTCCCGTCCTGCAGTCGCTTGTGCTTGAACAGGACCCAGTTTTGAGGCTCTTCAGTTTTCCGTTTACTTCAGATTAAGTTAGCTTCAGGTTGTAGATGGAGTTGGTGTAAACCACACTTCAGAGCTGCACTCTGAAGGGGAAAGTTGATGTACAGTTACAAAGTATGTTACAGTTCAGAATGAATAACTTTGTTCTCGGCAGATTTTAGGAGTTGTAAACAGAATCACAGAATCCCAGAATCCCAGACCGTCAGGGATTGGAAGGGACCTCCAAAGCTCACCCAGTCCAATCCCCCTGCCGGAGCAGGAACACCCAGATGAGGTTACACAGGAAGGCGTCCAGGCGGGTTTTGAATGTCTGCAGAGAAGGAGACTCCACAACCTCTCTGGGCAGCCTGGGCCAGGGCTCTGTCACCCTCACTGAGAAGAAGTTTCTTCTCCAATTGAAGTGGAACCTCCTGGGTTCCAGTTTGTGTCCGTTACCCCTTGTCCTATCATTGTTTGTCACCGAGAAGAGCCTGGCTCCATCCTCGTGACACTCACCCTTGAAATATTTATGAACATGAATGAGGTCTCCCCTCAGTCTCCTCTTCTGCAAACTCAAGAGCCCCAGCTCCCTCAGCCGCTCCTCAGCAGGGAGATGCTCCACTCCCTTATGAGTTAGCTTTAGCTTTTAGCTTATAAATCGTGTATCCTGTGGCATCTATACCATGAATCCGCGTACCCTTATGAGACGAGCTCTGCTGCTGGCCGTTGCACGTGAAATAACTGCTAACTTGAGTTATCTTCACGAAGCCAGAGGTGATGAAGGTGACTTCCCTCTCTCGTAGGGGTTGGCCCGGGGAACAACGACGACACGCTGCTGTCGGCGGTGGCCAGCGCGTTGCACACCAGCTCGGCGCCCATCACGGGGCAGCTCTCTGCGGCGGTGGAGAAGAACCCGGCCGTGTGGCTCAACACGTCGCAGCCCCTCTGCAAAGCCTTCATCGTCACGGACGATGACATTAGGTACGATTCAGACTGTCCTCGATTCAAAACAAGGCTTAATCCCATTAAAGGAGATTTCCTTCCTGGCTCAGGGCAGGCCTGGAGATAAGGGAAGAGAAGTGTGAACGTATTTTGTGGACTTGTTGCTTAGTTTAATAACTTGAAAAAATGCAAACTTGGCTTTTCTCTTTGTGGGCAAAAGAGTAACATAAAATATTCACTAAGGGTTGAGTCATAAACTCCATTTTCTTTCCCAAGAAAGCAAAGTCACGATCAATATTGGCTTCCTTCCTTCCCGTTTCCAGTTTGGTCAAGTTAATGTGGTGGCCTCAGTTAAAAAGTCAATAATTTCAATAAAGGAGAATCGCTCAGCACCGAAATCCACTTTTATCACATTATTTCTCGAGCCCTGGATGGGTACCTGAAGCTCCTGCAGAGCTAATGTTAAGGTATAAAATGATCTGATTCCCAGGCCTTTGCTTAGGGATTTACTTGCCTTTATTTTCTTCCGCATCAACTTCAAAGGTTTTCATAAGATAAATGCAGAAAGTGCAGCTTTGTTATGGAAAATGCAGCTTTGCTATGGAAAGTTACACGGCAGGATGAGAAACTGGGTGTGTTTGACAACATTGAGTGTTTATTTGAAACAAAACTCCTGTATTTTGGTCTCCCCAGTCACTCAGTTGTGTTTACAAAGTGGATTCTGGATTTGATGGCTGAACTGGAGCAGCTGTACCTCTGAGTGCGCTGCCGGTTCGCTGGCTCTTCTGCTTGGTGCCTTTATACACAGCTCACTCCTGTCATGGTTTAGGGC